AGGAATGTTGGGTGTTCCCAAGACAAAGTAGATGAAAGACCAGTTCCACAGTAAGACTTTATTTTTCTTTGATTAATTACTTTATATGCTGTTAGTGGAGGGAAGACAGCCCAGTTAAAGACAAGTCTTTTCCCAACCCAAAGATCATTAGCTTTTTCATGCGATGGAAATTTCATTTTTCAAATAATTCTGTTGGTGAGATACAGAATCTGTTTCCCACATACAGCTGAACATTTCATCATAAAACATTTCTTTATTCTAACAAAGGGAATTATATGAGAAAGAAAGCTTTGTCCAAAAGCATCACAAGGATTCCTAGCATTTTCCACAATTCAAAATGGTTACTAATTGGTGTTCTTACCTGTGCTCATTTGCTGTGATAGAGTTAAATTAAAATTAATTGAAGAAACTCCAATTGAATTCATGGCTAAAATTGTAATGGTATGTGTGTGTTCAGTCCACGGAAATGAACAGGTAGTGCCATTATCAACATATTCTGACCACGTGGTGTTTCCTGATGTCTGATGCTTTATAACGTATCGGCTCACGCTGCACAGTGAGTGATTCTTTATCAGTGGCTGTAGTAAACATCGGCATTGATTAATTTCCCAGTCTTTGATTTCAAAAGCAAATGTTATTTGGGCAGAAGGCATTGTTCCACTTTTAAGAAAACACAACCCAATAAAGATATTCTATACACTGGCTACTGTTCTCTTAGCAAAGGCACTGTAGTCCATTTGAAGACTTAATTTCTTCTATCTCTCTCTCTGAGAGCTGACACGCTTACTTGCTATCTTTCCAGCAAAGGGAGGGCGGGGGGGGACACAAGGAAACACAACCTTTCAGACTCCTATAGTAACTCATTATTTTATATTAGTATTTTCCAGGACTGAAAAAACAGAACAGATGACTGTTTGCATACTAAACATGGACAAACAGGAGTGGGCAGTCACCGATGTACTTTTCTCCTCTGTCCTGCATTAACCTTTTAACATAGCTTTGCCCAGTTTACGTGCAGTTGCAGTGGTGTTTATATAGGCAGCTGTCTAGGAGTCAGTGGCACATTCTGCTCAGAGATGTTGGCCAGCATAACCTGGCAGCTGAGGACTGCATCTCTCATTATAACTTGCAGTCTTTGACTCCATGGTATTCTTTTTTTCTGAGCATTAGAACAAATTGTGTTTTAAGTCTCTGTTTCATAGCTTTGCATAACTAACACTGAAAGCGTAGGCTGACGTGAACGTGTCACAGAGCATTGACACTTCAGCTGCATTAGTACAGCTCAGACAGCAGGTCTGGTCTCTGCGCAAAGGAAGCTTGCAACCTGCCCAGAGATCTGAGGGCTCTCCTAAAGTAGTGAGGACTGTAAGACTTCAGGAATAATGGGATGTTCCATATGGCTGCGATGCAGTCCCACATGTAGTTCAACATGGCTGTGGTGCATGGAACTGGACCTGTGCAAGGACAGTTTAACCACAACCTCCGATGGGTACAAAAATCAGCTTACTTCAGAAGGCTGGCCTGTGAGCTTACTAAGTCTGGAAACACGCCTGTTGCCAGTGCATGTCTGTGCTGAGCCTCATCTACCCGCTCATCAAGAGCAATCACACAGCACTTGGAAAGTTTTTGTCCTGCTACATTACTATAAACTTGGTAATGATTAGGGTACAAAATCAGGTCAGCATGTGCCAGCTAGCTGCAGGAAAGATTACAGAGAATAAAAACAGAAAGGCAGGGGGGGAAAGTAACAGCAACAGAAGGTAGTAAAGTACAAGACGGGCTGACTGAGCAAAGAAGGCAGAACCATCTCATCTTGGATCACCATTACAATCAATATTCAGCAGCAACTTCTACTTGCCTCTAGTATTAGCCAAGCAAGAGGCACTAACACAGAAGTCATATCCCAAGTGCCTTGCATATGAAGTCCCACAAACAGCGCCTCCCTAAGTTTGCCTCCCCGGGCAGTATGTGCTTATCATAGTCCCTTTTTGGCAAGTCTACCAACGGTTTTTGGATCAAAGTGAAAGACCAAAATGTAATTGTTCTCACCTTCCACAGGAGCGTAACATTCTTCTGCCTCCTTGCTGGATCTTCAATAATAACTCTCCAAAATTCAGGGCCTTGTAAGGGAGCTGCAAGATTACAGAGTTTTGAAATAACAGTGTCACACCTCAGCCTGAAAACTGGACAGACCATCAGAGCGCATTCTGAAAGCACACGTACCTTTGATATCCTTTACAAGTGTATAGGCCGATCTGCTCCAGTTGCTCCAGTAACCTGATCCGTCATCCAGTTGTCTGCACCGGACCTGAACAACATACTCCACACAAAGCTTCTGAACTTTTATCACAGCTGATCTTGGTGCATTTGAAACTTCATAAAGCTGTAACAGAAGTCAAAATATTTAGAGTAAGAACAAAAGGCTGTTTAGGCATCTGTTAAGAGTCAAAATTCCTGAAAACTAATCCAATGAGGAAGTGGCCTAATCAGGAATATTCCTTTGCTAGATAATGCATATGCTTATAACCGTGATTCATTGGATGCCACAAATTCCACAAAAACCAGCTAACACACTGAATGAGAACACTGCAACAATTCACTCTTCAATCTAGATTAAAAAAGACAGTACCTCCCACGTAATTTCTTCCCTGTTCACAGCATACCGAATCTGAAATTTAAGATCATCATTTGTAAATATTGGGTTTGTCCAGCTCACATTCAGCAGCCCAACATTCCTGGTGATTTCTGCTTTAACGTTGGAGGGAGGAAGCGGCTTCACTAGAAAATCAAAAGAAAAAAAGTGACTATAATGTCTGCACTGACATTTCTCATCAAATCAAATCATCATGGTTTACTTTCTTCTGTCCTGAGGGCAGCAGGTAACCCACTGTGGCCTCTGCTATTCCAAGGAAAGCTGGACTATCATACAAACGTAACAATTCACCAATCCAGTCTGGCTGGCCCATTCACTGCAGGCTGTCTGAGAAAGGCAATGTTTGTCTAATGGGAAAGTCATTCCAATTTTGACACAAACTAAAATCACCAAAGAAAATCTTAAGTTGAAATATCAAAATTTATTACAAAATACACATTTAAAAAAAAACCAAACAAACATGGGCAAGCTTCAGCACATTTCATTGTAATTTAAACCACAATAGCTTACATTGGTGCTACCACCTGGTACCTCTCCTGGTACAAATTGCAAAAGTTATAGTCTGGCATTAATGGGATGCACAACTGTGGAAAGTAGTGGCACACATGGCCCAGAAAGGCAGCTCCTATAGACAGTGACAGACATTATGCAACAATTAATGGAAATAGTTCATTAAGTTTTTATTTTATCAATGGGAAATTACACCAAAACTGAGCTTCTCCAGCAGACTGAACATGAATGTCACAAAGCTCTTGTCTGTTAACAAAGCGAAGTTAGAATAAACTTGTTTTGACTAATCAGATGGTGAACGAGGAGAAAATAACAAAAACATGAAATAAGCTTTAGATTTTGGGTGGTACAGAGCACCTTTCATCCAGTGCAGGTCAGTTCTATTCATTGGTTTTTATTTGAAGTGATGACTTGAATAAACCAGACTTCTAAAGTTCTGATAGAATTCCTCACTGGGCAGCATCGTATAAAGCTACCACCTTTCCTCAAAAGAACACAGCCAACTGAGAGCACAGACGTGCCCGACACAGACTTAACACTACAGCTGCCATGCTGACAAGGTGCCAGGTTCTCCTGGCAAATTGTCTAAGCAGCGGAAGTGCAGGTTCTCTACCCGCCATCACTCACACCACCCTCTTTTCTGATGCCCAAGGCCACCAATAGTTCTCTGATAATCATCGAACTTGCCTGTCAAAAAGGCACAAACTTTGAACTCTTTGAACTAGGCAGGAGCAACCCTGAAAACCACAAGGCCACCAAATTAATAGTAATACTATTAATAATCATTCCCATGCCCCACTTAGCTATAATGCAGTGAACTTTGCCCTTACTTCCTGCAACATTCATTTTTGCTTACTCTATTTTAACTTTGCAATGCAAAGGACAGTTTGATTTAATTTATGTTCTCCGTATGCATGTTTCCCCACACATATAATAGATGTATTTTATTCTGCTTTATTTCATGTAGCACTTCTGTGGTCTAGCTGCCATGTTTTCTCTCCACGTATGTTCATGTCTGTGTCCAAAAATACACAGTCCAATGAATGCTCCGAGTCATAGACCAGGTAAGACACACTTTGCACATTTTGCAGTGCTTGAAAACACTCAAACACTGTTCCTGCCTCCTGCTTTTATACAAATTTAAGTAAGTGCTCTTTATGTCCAAAAGAAACTTTTCAAAAGCATGCAAGAGCATGAGCAGTCCCTAAGATTTTAAATAAACTCATTACTGTGTAAGTAATATGTGTAGTGCTACACTGTATCAAAGTATAAACTTAACAACTAATTGAAGACTTCAGAAAAATTAAGTAACCAAGAATCCTAAAAATGAGACTGCCTTTTAAAATATAATACCTTTTTATAGGTATTAGCTGCAGTTACAATCTGCTCCTGTGCCAAGCAAAATGTATGGAAATAACATTTAATCCAGTGTCTTTTAGAAGGCAGTATCAAAGTTCTTGTGTGTTTTATGTTCTTTCCACAATCTAATTTATTTAAAATGCTATGAAGAAGTACTTTACCTACACTATATAAGGAATTAAATCCAAGGTCACAAGTGAAGAAAGACATGCACAAATCTTGACCTACCCACATCTGCTGGAACGACACAAGTTGGTGAGGATTCAAGTGTTCCCAGTAAGTGCTTAAACTCTATCCACATGGTATATCCAGATAAAAGAAAAATAGGCTGAAATGTGCACTCATAAGAATGATTCTTCTGTAAATGGCATTCTTTCACCTCTGATTTTGGAGAAGTACTTGGAAAGTCAGGACAATAAATTCTGCTCCTTAAAAGAGAAAAACACCCCAACCCACTCAGTTAATACATTGCAACTATAAGCTGCTCACGGCATCAGTAAAATAGAACTCTGAAGAAAATTACAACAAATGGTGTCACTGGAACCATCTGGGGTTTCTTCATGATTATTTGGACAGATCTGGAACTTGAGTCTACACTAAATGGATAAATAACACTGCAGCATTACTCTTTAAAGCTTTGGCTCTTAGCCTGAAAAAAGTAGGAGGTGAAGGTTCTCTCCAGTTCCAAATCTTCTGATAAGAGACTAACAACAGGAAGAAACAGGTACGACAAGAGCAGGCATTTCCAAATACTCATAAATCATGTTACTTGAGTGGTATGTATTGGCAATAAGCATAGCAAGGCAGGTCTCCAGCCAAGAAATTACTCCAGCTGGGAATATGACTTTCAAAATATCAGCTGGTGTCCAGGGGAAAGCTGCCACATGGACCAATTGGACACGTACAATGAAGTCTCCAGGAGATGGAAATCGCATATAAATATCAATTCTGGAGGGTGGTATTAAAATATCACATGTAGTCAGTATCACAGCTGGCAACAGAAGAGAGGAGACCCGGACTCTGGATAAAATGGCACTGGATGTCTTATCAGTGATGGAAAGGAAAGTGTTCAAATTTCTCCTAAGCTTCTTCACAGCTCAGACTTGTGGTGAGAGTGGCCAGATAGGGTATTAGTTATTCAACTGAACCACAGAAGTTACACTTCACTGAATCTCTCCTCTTCCTGTCAACATAGCTAACACTGATTAAACCGTTGCCTTGTGCTTTGAAAGTTTAGCTTAGCATTTTCTGGTTTTACAGCATGATCATTTCTGTGCTGTTTCTGTTGGCAGCACTGACTGTAGAGGAAGATGTAGTAACAACCCAACCAAAACAAAACACCAACGGCAAAGCTATCACACCACATTACTGTAGAGCGTTGGATTTCATCTGTAAAATGTGATTGCATCAGTAACTAGGAAGAATAGCTACGTGTTCCTGGAAAACCTAACGTGCCTGATGTTAATGCAACACATCTAACTTCCAACTCTCATCCCGTGGACTTGTCTACGTCTCAATAAATACAGCAACTCCAGTGTATTTATGGTGCCTCTTACAATCAAGCTTGGGTAATTAAAAAAACCCGACCATTTCACTTGGTTTCAAGTTTGTAAACGTTCAAGTTCATTTTGTATTTTTGTTCCAAATATGCAGTAGAAACTTTTGCAAATGTGTTTTCATAACTATACATTTTTAAATGTCTTATACTTCAACTTTTTGGTAGTCAATACATTTACGTAGTCCCCCATGATTTCCCCCCCACCCCTTTCAGACCTTACTGTTAGCAAACAAACAAACAAACAAAACAAAAAGAAAGCTCACAACAAATAATAGCATCTGGGAAGCATTTTCAGACTCTATTAATGTTCACTGTTTGATCTCGCAGGAACACTGTAACAAATGTAAGGATTATCACTTTGTGTTAGAAAATAACATTTTTAGCTAAACCCGAACAGTGAAAAAGTGGGAATAAAAAACATGGCAAGAGCAGCATGGTTTTTAATCTCATGTTGGGAAGACAGTCGAAACAAAACCTACCTTAGCAGTCAGCTAGTCACTAATCCTGCCCTAAAAGCCTCCACTCGAAATCTCAAGCATTCGAGCTATTACTTTTGTCCACAAAATCCTGAAAAATATTCACTTTGGTACTAAGTTCAAAACTTCAATCCACCTCCAAGAGAGAAGACAGTCCAGCTTTCCAAAGGATTAGGTCCTCAGGGCTGATCCAAGCTTGTTTGCCAAAACTTTTGCATATCCAGTCCCGCAGAGCAGTAAAACTAAAGATTTTTTTTCTCAGGAAGGATTGTCTGTCTGTCCATCTTGTTTATATGAAGACTAACACAGTTCTAGGAAACTCTCAAGCTTAATGTATTAGTAACTCAAAGGAATTTTTTTAGTTTTGTGGTAAAACAATATAATCACAGGCACTATTTGTGCACATGAATGAAGATAGGATGACCATACCACTGGTTTAATAATCAGTTTTGTATTTTCCAAACAATATTGTGTTTGCTCCACATCCCAGTTCTCTTGCTTTGTCCAAAAGACAGACCAAGTTAAACCAACTATCTGAAAACAAGCTAGGCCAAAACACCTGACCAAAACCATGAAAACTAAGAATTGCTCTAGCCACTAAAGATGCTACCTTCATAAAGCAATTAACTAAGATTTGATTCTCTCTTTATAAGTGAGATCTTCTCCAACTGGAGTGAATTAAATTCCATCCCTTTATTTTTATCTACTGTATGTATATAGGAAAAAAGAATAGAGAAATAGAAAAAAATCAAAAATTGGATGGAGACCTCAAGAAGTCTCAAGTCCTACCTCTGAATCAAAGCAGGGTTAAATTCAAAACCAGATTAAGTTGCCCAGGGTCCTGTCCAGTCGAGATCTGAAAGTCTCCAAGGACAGATATTCTACAGCCTCTCTGGGCTGCTGCTCCAGTGCTCAGTCACTCTCACAGTGAATGGTTTTTTTCCTTATTTTCTTACAATTTGTAGATATAAGCAACTAGAATAATAATTTTTATAACTGATACAAACATCTACTTTAAGAGAACTGGCTCCCAAACTGCATCTACAGGTTTTACAAATGCTGAAGAACACTGTAAATAGAATCCATGTTGCATACTCAGGTATTAGGGACACGGTTTAGTGGTGGGATGGCAGTGTTAGGTTAATATTTGGACTTGATGATCTTACAGGTCTTTTCCAACATAAATGATTCTATGATTCTATCTATGGTCCCCTTTCTGCACACGTAGTTAATACCTCTGGAGATCCAGTTGGGAAAAAGGCCAGCTTACAGAAACTGAGCACATTTTATAATTACATCTATTTGGAATTCTTTGCTGCAATAGTACTTCCCGAGCAACGCTTTCCAAACATAAAGAGTACATTAAAAGCTATACATACCTGTAGTATCTTAACTGCAAGGAATTCCCCAGGAGCAAGGTGTTTGGGTTTGCAGACCATCTGCAAGTCATTTTAGTTAAGTATCCATCTGTTTCACATGTGATATTGATATTCACATCTAATTAAAACACATTGAAAGTTTATTAATACAGTTATGGTTGTTTATACAAAAAACATGCATTACAAATCATAACTGCTCGATAAAAGCTAACTGGAGTTTAAAATGGAAATATTCTGACCTTACTATTAAAATGCAGCAAAATTGTAATTTAAAATCATCTGGAGTCTTACCTACTACATATAATTCAGCGTATCTATGATGACATTCCCTATTTTGATGACAACAGTACAATGCGTTATAGAAGAAATTTCCTCTAGGTTTTGTTGCTTTCAAGTTGAAAAGAGTAACTTTGCTTACGCGATCATTCACAAGCGTATACTGACTTTCTGGGATTTCTTCTGCTAAATTCAGCCACCAAACAATCTTCTTGGACATTACAATCTTGGTTGTGTTTTTATAGATGCAATGAAAGGAAACGTTAGAACCAACACTGGTCAGTATCTTAGGAGGGAAGTACAGGACTTCAGCTACACAGAAGGGGAAAAAAAGGGAAAAAAAACCCACTGAGATTAGAATCTGAACAACAAAAAAAGCATATGTCAATAGAATATTATTATCATCCAGTTGTATTCCTAAATTTCCTACTTCTTAATTACTATTAATGACTATAGGGGAGAGGGGCAGAAACGAACCCTGGACTTTTTCCCCCATAACTGATGTTTAAATTCTGATAAATATAATCTTCAATATCCCCAGGCAAACAGGAATTAAATGAGCAGAAAATCACTGGAGGGTGTAGTGAAAGCAATACACAGCAGCACAAGGGAAACAGGGAATTGTACAGACTCCTCTAAATTAAATATTGGGAAACTAGATTAACACTCCTGCTTTTTACTTAGTCCACTTTTTTAAGGCATCAGGTCAGCTTATTTAAATACTGCAGTAAGTATGTGCAACCTAGAAAGGCTTCTGTACCTCATCTTACAAAGACATACACCACAAATTTTAAAATTGTAAAATTGTCCTCAGGTAGAAGTGAGAGAAGATCCAAATAAGAGCAATGTTTGAGTTTTTTTAAAAAAAAAATAAAATAAAAATCTAACCTTTGAACCCTGCAAGGATGTTGAAATCATGTGCTAGCTGAGGCATTACTGTAATACTGGAACATATATTTTGAGAAAATTGGTATTCAGAACTGGGGGAGGGGGGTAAAAAAAAAAAAGTAAAAAAAAAAATAAAAAAAATCAAGCTTTCCAGTAGTTACTAATCCTGCTCCTATGGAAGTCAGAAAGAGATTAATGTCTCAAAAACTCTACAACCTCAGCAGTCTAGTCAATTCCAAATGGTAGCAGTGATACAGCAAGTAATTCACCTAGGCATAAAGATACTGAATGTGCAAAGCATGTAAACATGCATAAGCTCAGCCTCAATCAGTCAGGGACTTAACAAAGCTACACGTGTCATACACCTGCTGAAAAGGAACAGTTTGCCAGAGATCAACACAAAGCCAGCATGAAAATCTTTAAAAGGTCAGGTTTGCTTTCCATAGTTCAGGAACCATGTCATATATTTTTAGGATTTTTCCAAAACACAGGCCTTCTCAGACAGTAGAGTAGAACTACAATACTGTCATTGTCAAAGACTTCCATATTAAATATAAATCCGACCATGAAAGTACAAAAAAACCTAACTGCCTGATTTCATTATTTACTCTTCCCACGTTCATGTGCCTCCATGAATGCAAGGCAGCATTCCTGTTACCAGCTGCTTTGCTGCTCCCAGCTGCACTGCACGCTCCACTGTTCCTCCATTGCCTCATCCCATCATTGGCCATTGGAGGACATATGCCAATTGGAGCCTCCTGCAGTGAAGAAATTAATCCCTCTATGCTGCCATCAGGTTTGTCACAATAGGATTATTTTGCTGATGAGATGTATGCTTAATACAATTACATATCCCATAACAGGATTAATAAAAGATAATCTAACAGTATCTACCGCACCTCTTTTACATCCATATTTCTCAATACACCCATAAACCCTGTCTGAAAATATCAGTATATGTGTATGTGAGAGAGAACATGTCCCCCCAAAATTCTCAAAGCTATGTAAATATATATATATATATATATATATATATATATATAAAAATCCAAAAGACTAAGGGCCAGTTAGGCCTCTAGTCATATAGCCAGGCATCTTTTTTTTTTAATTTTTATATATATAAAAATCCAAAAGACTAAGGGCCAGTTAGGCCTCTAGTCATATAGCCAGGCATCCCGCGTTTCATGCTCAATTGCCATGAAGGCCTATGTTTTTTTCAGCTTTCTTGGAAGGGAGCTCCTTCTGCAGAGTTTAGTTATTTCCTTGGTACTTGACTTAAGCACATACACTACACTATTTAGCACACAGTAAGCAGGTGTACATGTAAGCGCCTAGGTAAAGCACTGGTGTTGTCATGTAATAGTGCAGAGGATACCTGTGACAACACAGACCCAAACATTACCAGTTAACCGTAAGCAGAGCATAGAAAAATACAATGCAAAAAACCCTGAAATCTCTAGGCTGACCCAAACCAGCTCAACCTGCAAATCAGCAATCCTGAAAACTGACCAAGGATTTGCCAAACAAAATTTCTTTCCCTTCCTACATAATCTGACCATGAATAAAGAGCCATTATGATCTATCATTTTAGCAGGAGCTATGCTGATATAAGAGACCTCATTAAATCATGAGCACCCTTTACTCAGTCCAGGAGAGCTCTTACTGTGTGCAATATGTCAGGAACTCACCCTATTTGGGTAGTAACTTGACTGCAGTGTATAACATGACATACTTAACACGAAAGCCACATGCATTGAAACTGACTGACCGGGGCTACTGTGCAATTTATGAATGGGGCTCAGCATTACAAACCAAGACGGGTTATGTTAACTCTACAAACCCCAAACTGTGTTCTGCACTTTTAGTTCAGCTCAAAGGCTCATACTAAAATAAGAGTTAGAGAAAGCATTAGGAGAAAAATCTTGTATTGAGTAGAGGTTTAACGCTGCCAGCGGTCTTTTGAAACGGAAAAACTCTTAGAAAAAGAGCTTTTTCAGGGTCTGAACAGGTGCTCGGTGAGCAAGCAACAGGTCCAGACAAGATGTCATGGAGCTGACTGTGCAGTCTACATGCATTAGTCTAGAACTCTTTTAACGCAAGTCTTGTACAAAGGAAAGAGCGTACAGTACTCAGGCAAAGCCATGCAGAAAGAGAACCAGAAGGGGAAAGAACTTCCACGGGATTTTTCAGCCCAACTCATGCATACTGTACCTCCCCAGATAACTCATGCTCTCAAATACCCATTCCATGAAACAAAACAAACTGGGAAATCTGTTCTACTCCAGAAGACTACTTACTGCACACAAGCAACTGCGTGTGACCTACCTCCCAAGTTGAGATTATAGGGTGTGCTCCAGTCACTCCAGAACCCCGGACCACGACGATTCCTGCACCTCACTTGAACTAAGTAGGAAGAATTAAGTAGCGCATTGTCTATGGCCAGTGAGGTTTCTAGAACAACGTGAACCATCTGTTGGATTATCAGAAGCCATTATTATTGTATAATGAAACCGGAAAAAGAAAGAGACAGAGGGAACAAAACCAAATATTCGAGAGTATAGTTTTGAGATAGCAAGTTGGGTAAAAAAAGCTTTCTTCTTTAAATTTACTGTAAATTTGAATATGGTAGAGGTTGCATACCTCTGTGGAAAACATGTTATTCATTATGGACTGCTAATTAGCAGCTGCTTTTTATTCCAGACCCAGTTGCATGGTAGCAACAGAAAAATCAATTCACTAATAAAAGCTATAAATATTAAACATATGCATGTATCATGGCATCTGGGGTTTGCTGAAAGGAGAGAGCTTTGGCTTTAGACTTCACATAACCTAGCATTTAATCCAAAAAGAAATATAGGCATTTGTAAGACCCAAGAGGAGACGGGTCTTTCTTTTTTGTGTAATGGGTCTCCTAGTGTAACAGATGTTCGCTTGCCAGGTCTACCACACTCTGTTGATGTCTACCAGGGTCTGCTGGACACGCCAGCTCAGAAGAAACCACTGTTCCATGCCCAGCTCTACCAGACCAGCCACACTGCGCAGACCACCAGATCCACTGCCCAAGGACAAGAAGGGTGGTAAGAAATCCTAAGCTCTGGAAGAGACCCATCAACCTGCCCCACTCCATCATAAAACAGAGTGAGCAGAGCTGACTCACCTGCCAGCCATTTTGACTTGAATTTGCAGAGATCTTCACTTCATACTGAAGTGGGTATGGCATTAGCACAGGGTCAGACCAGCAGATTTTCACTTGACCTTTCTCTGTCATTTCCAGATGCAGGTTCAAAGGAGGTTCAGGCTTTACTGCAGACAAATTAATTGACAGGTTTACCACTAACTTTATTGCCTGCGACTGCTGGCAGTAATGGGGTTTTTTTACTGATTCAGAAGTCTCTTTTGTGCCTTTTCTTTAAACTCAGCTTTCAAGAGCTGCTCTACAGCTAGTGTATGACAGACTAATGTTATACAGTATCACTGGAAAAGTGCACCCTGGCACTGTTATATAGTTAGCTATCAGGACATGCTATTTCACCTAATGTTTGCGACCTAACTACATTAATTTCTTGCCTTGGGCCACAACTCTCCCCAGTAACCGAGCACTAAATTATCTTATTTGCTGAAAAGACGACTGAGAAGGATGGGGGTGCTGAGCAAAGCAATTAGCTCAGCACCTTAAGAAGTAGGAGATAATGTTCTCATACCGTACACAACAAATTTCTAAATATTCCCATCCCTTCTACAGTGATTATGGCTGTTAAAGGTCTCCAGGAGAGCTACATTAGGGCAAAGTAAAAATGGAGGATTTCAGAAGTTTCCCACAAGGATGAAGAGAACTCTCTGGAGAGGGAAATGGACGGGCAATTCAGAATGATGACTCTTCCTTGGAAAAAGGCATAGCTTTTAAAACAAAAGTCAGTAACTGCTACATCACACTTTTGTGACTCTTACAATACAAATGATGTCTGTTCTACTGATGACACCTGTTCTACTGATATCCTCTATAAACAAGTACAACTCTGTATTACACAAATATTCATAGCTTTACTTTCAAAATAATTTTTAATTGAGCTAAATCTAGGCAGAACATATACTAATATTATGCATTTTTAAAATATACTTCACTAAGCAGAACAAACTAATTATGTCATTTTAAACACTGGCAGATGCAGCTCTGAATTTTTAATTTTTTTTCCTGTAGCATAATTTAAAAGCAGCATGATGAGAAATGCAATCTCTCATCTTCAAAACTAGCCCACCCAGAGACTTTTAACTTATTCTGTCTGCAAAGCACATCAGTTAGGAAGAAGCTTATAAAAATTCTGGTTTTTCCCCCACAGCTGACAGAGTCCCTGCCTTTTTGAAATTTGCCAAGATCTGCAGTAACTGTGCAACACATATCAAATCCATAATGTCAGTATGGTTTTAACTTGATTAAATACAGAGGAATGTTTTCCAACTTGGAAAATGCTGGAAGTGTGTATGTAAGGAAGAAACCATCAGGACAACAGAGCTGCTTGAAAGAAGAGGTAGTTTTATTTCCTAACTAACTTTAGGGGCAGCTTTTTTTCGTCTCACTTTTTAATTTAAGTCCTCAGTAACATAGACAAATAAGCTCCACCACAGCCTCAGGCACAGAGCAGTCTTGATTATAGATGAAAGATCAAGTATGTTGACAGCCTGGCCTTTGCTCAGTATGGTTTTGTACTAGAGCCCAGACAGGCATTAGGCGGCTAACAAACATATACAGCACCACACTGAGCAAATGAGACAGCACCGGGAAGCCTTTTCCTGTTCTGTCTGTGCCCTCCTTCTCCAGAAGAGACATCCCGCTGCTGTTCTCCATTAAAAAAGGTTTAAAATATAGGTCGGGCTTACCTATGTCTATGGGCTTGACTGACATCAAAGGTGACCACAGAGGTGTTACACCAATCACAATCTTCAGCCACATGATGTAAGTGTAGTTGAGTCTCAGAGAAGGCACACAGCACTCACACTTGTCATACTCACTACAGTCACACTGAACAACCATGACCGTCCCCTTCAGAGAGCTTGTAGATACATCTCCCAGTGAAAGCTCTGATCTACAAGGGAAAAAAGAAACCACAAAAAACCCCAAACAGTATTTCTTTCTATACTCTCTCAACAGAGGAGGTTTGTCTATCTCAATAAGGTTTATTTACAAAAAAAAAAAAAAGAAAAAAAATTTAAAAGACAGTAATTGTAACCAATTGCTTTTACTTTGCTGCTTCTCCCTTTTTAAATCATTTCCAGGTAAAGTAGTTGAGATGATTTAATGAAAAGTATTCCTAAGGTTTGACTCTAAAACAAATGCGTTACAGTGCTAGATGATACCTGTAGTTTAGTCAGACTATTTTCTGATTCCTGACGGTAACTGTTACTAGATACTTTTTCGGCACACAGAGTTAGTTTACCTCACAGTGGACTAACTGGCAGCTCTCTGCCACCCCCACAGAGATTATGTCCTTATTCCTTTTTATGAGGCAGCGAAATAAAATCTAAACAATTTAACATGACTTCCAGCTTCTGCTACAATTCAGCATTACAAATAATGTAATAATCAAAAACAATTATTCAAGTGAAATGTTTTCGAGTTTTGGAATAACAAAAGGCTAAAGAACTCCACCATTCAGAACAAATTTTAGTACTCATTTTCAACAACTTACAGTATTTGAAAAAAAAAAAAAAAAAAAGACAGACACCCGTGTCCTCCAAAAGTCTTAACATTGTGCAGTTAATTCTAAGATAAGATAAGGCTTAAATTATTTGTATTCACAGCATGTTTGTCTATTATATAGTCTGATGTTTCCTAGGAAAGCAAATTATTTACTCATATGCATTACTACTATTGTCTTGGAGAGGCTCACAGAAAGTACTTAGTAAGTAACTTACTGCATTTTGCTTTTATTGCTTCTCAGAGTAAAGTTCATAGGACTATTTTTGACTGAATGTTCAGATTAAGTTTCAAGGAGGTTTTTTTGCCTTTTTTTTTTTATTAACACTCCTTCCTTGAGAGTTTAACATACACGGGTTTTGATTACTCAATAACTATATGGTCTAAAATAAACTTTGGAAGTTTTAAACAACTAATAGCTGCATGGGCATACTATATGTTTCCTAAACAGTTTAATCAGATTTTCTAGAAATATGATTTCAATAAATTTTAAATGAAATAAATTAAAAAGTAGCATATACTGATACAAGCAGTCATGCATTAAGTCTTTTGATGCTAGCAAATGTTTTATAGGATACAAAAAGAACATATAGACTCATGTTGAAATACAGGCCATCACATTTAGTTTGTATCTCTAAAACATACACAACTTCCCTTGGGTCAACTTCAAGAAGCAGCATGAAGACAACCAATACTATTTCCCCTGTACACATTAGTACACAGATGCTTTTCAAGTATGTTTTACAGGCATTTTTAGAGCAATCCTCATGTGTATGATTACTCTTTTATACATGTTTTCAATCTCCATTGATATTAGTCAAACTGTTCTTGATTTATGAAATAAATAACACACAAGTGGGCACAAAGCTGCTTCTATTCCAAGAGCAACCAGCAGTTTCCAAAGTATTCTTCATTCTCATTCCTATTCCACACATATTCTTTAGGCTCTTTCAAACACAGATATACTTTTATGGCATATGGCAAGTATTCAGTGACACAGGCCTCCTTAAGGTAGTGAATTTAATGGTGCGAGTACTTTGTGGCCAAACCTCTCACAGCAGCAAAGCCAAGACATATCCTGACAGTTAAACAATCCTGGATTCTCTCCTGGTTTTGACATCTTACCCTTACAAAAAAAAAAAAAAAAGCTTATGTTTTGAATGCTTCTGAAGTAATTTCGGTATTATTTCTGTATAGTAAGGGGTTTGTTTACTAATTCAGAGAAAGAGATTGAAGTTAATAGAATAAGAAGCTTTCTGTAAATGTTTCAAACAGCTTTATAGTTGAAATGACCTGTTGCAGCACTTGAATTGAGGGAGGGCAGAGAACTCTACATTGGAGAAGAAAGGACAAGATTGTCTGCTCTTTTTCTGTTTTAGTCAATTTTGTATATAGTACATTTAATCAACTGTAGAGGACAGGGGAAATGGGCATGATTCACTGGTCCTTTTACCGTAATCTGCCCTACTTAAAAAAGAAAAGGTCAAAAACTGAGGAGAGGTTGGAAGCAAACAAAGGGCTGATGAATTATGGGGAAGAGCACGTGCAAATCATACTGACTGGGTCTGCAATGGAACCCACAATGCACACACATGGATCTCCTTGAATCGGGGCCCCACTCCCCTCATCATTCACTGACCAACACACGCACATTATGCATCCACCTTGTTTTTAGGATACTCTTTGAAGTGGGTAACAGGAGGATTTTCAATAGCACTATGCCCTCATAGCACCTGTACTCACCTCATAAGCTGTGCAGGTTCATATGATTATGTAGTCTACATTTATTAGTGCTACAGTCAGTCAATACTGACATTCCTAAAATAATTTTTACCAGGACTCATAGACTTTAGGACATGAGAATTATAGAACCTTATGCTGATGGTATCTGGCAGACACGCAGCCTTTAAATTACTTGGAATATTTTTGTTTTTATAGTTGTGGCTCCACTTCTTTCTCCTGAATTTCCTTTCAAAGACTTCGCAGAATTTTCTTTTAAGTTTCCTTGCCTTCTATTGTTGCTCACAGATTTTATTAGTCTCAAAAAACCCACAATCAATCCATAAGAATGTAGTCTTTTCATCAAACTGCATCTTTAAACTGAGCTATCTGGAAAGCAGTCACTACCACACCACCACCCCCATCATTCTCTTAATCATTCCTAATAATTCTTTTGACTTTTAACTGTTGAACTCAGCTTATTTGCACCCAGAAGACCACTCGTGTACAGGGGAAAAAATGCTAGAGAGCTCTTCCCCATGTTGTGTTGTGCCAGTATTGTGTTTCAAAGGCCACTTATTTGGACGTAAACAGGCATGGGTTGTTATTTCTCCCTGCTCCCACCGCACAAACCTTTTCATGTGCTTATTGTATAAAATGCTGTGTGGGGGAATGCAGGGGTAACTGGAGGAAAACCCTGTGGCTCCATGCCAGGCAGGTCTTCCACCCCCTGTGACAGAGAACTACCAGTATCTCGCTTCTGTGCTGTAGACTTCTCTCACAGCTCACTACCTCTGCAGGCATCCAGCACAAAGCAAGGGGAAAACCAAAGCATGTTATCAGACGCCAGGTCTGCTCCCCAAGGAAGGTCACAGATACTAAGAAACAGGGTAGCAGTCTTCACATTTCTGCAAACTGGCAAGACACAGGGACTATCTTAAAATTGGGTTTGCGATAAGAGATCAATGGAGGACATGGCCATGAGGGACCCCTACAACAACTTATTCCAAATTGCCAAGCCTGGACTAAATGTATGAGATCTGATTACAAGCAAAACAACAGGAAGCCAAAGTATTTTGGAGAACTGCGTCAGTCTGGGATTGCATGAGCAGCCTGTCATCTTCAGTGTGGCTGCAGAAGGATCCAGTCACAGAATAACCATTGTTCCTAAATTGTGGATACTGACTTTAGAGGAGCTTATGCTTATAAAGCCTTCACAAGTTCAGGAGAGGTCAGTGCCTTCATTTAGTAGAATGAGAGGAGAAATTTTGGGTAAACTTAAAACAAAGCAACAGGCTATTAAAAACTGCAGTTTCCCATCAGACTTGCAGCATGCCGAGAGTATCTATAAATCCTGGTTCAACAAGCACTTTGCATCATGCAACAGTGATCAGATCTAAGCCAGATCCAATTTGTGGTGGGGGGAAGGAAAGACAGGGGGCTTATAAAATACATGAGTATATACTATGTCCCAATTCAGTTTTATAGTGCTGGCTGCTGGAATTGGAGAGATTTGTCTTGGAACAGTGAGGCAAGCAAAAACCAGTTAGGTACTAAGCATATGAACTTCAGTGAATCATAGAATCATAGAATGTTTTGGGTTGGAAGGGACCCCTAGAGGTCATCTAGTCCAACCCCCCTGCAGCAGCAGGGACACCGCTAACTAGATCAGGTTGCTCAGAGCCCTGTCCAACCTGGCCTTGAATGCTTCCAGGGATGGGGCCTCCACTACCTCTCTGGGCAACCTGTTCCAGTGTTTCACCACCCTCATTGTAAAGAATTTCTTCCTTATATCTAGTCTAAACCTACCCTGGTTTAGTTTAAAACCATTACCTCTTGTCCTGTCACAGCTGGCCCTACTAAAAAGATTTTCCCCCTCTTTCCTATAGGCCCCCTTTAGGTATTGAAAGGCCACAATCAGGTCTCCCTGCAGGCTTATCTTCTCCAGGCTGAACAAGCCCAATTCCCTCAGCCTGTCTTCACAGGAGAGGTGCTCCAGCCCTCGGATCATTTTTGTGGCCCTCCTTTGGACCCGCTCCAACACTTCCATGTCCTTCTTGTGCTGAGGGCTCCAGAGCTGGACGCAGTACTCCAGGTGAGGCCTCACCAGAGCAGAGTAGAGGGGCAGAATCACCTCCCTCGACCTGCTGGCCACGCTTCTCCCGATGCAGCCCAGAGTACGGTTGGCCTTCTGGGCTGCCAGCGCACATTGCCAGCTCATGTCCAGAGCCCACCTCTGAGATTCAACAGAAAACTAGTGAACTGGACTTAAGTTTTAATGGCTGGCAGAGGAGGGAGGGAGGGAGAATGTGCAAAGGCAATGTGCCTTTAAGCTGGAAACGTGGGACTCAAGCATAAGACACTGCAGAAGAGGGGAAAAAAAAAATATACTGCATGCCCTGAACCACAGAAGTAATTAACATTGCAACAAGGGCAGATGTCCAAGGCTTGCTTTGCTTTTCTATTCCAAGCGCTGCACTTTTCAGTTGTGCACAGATAGTTCTTTTCATCAACACTTCAAGTTAAAACCTCCTAAATGTTTTGTATTTTGGTGCACAATTCAATGATACTTCGGAAGGTGTTGTTATTTATGCTAAATTAATCTGTGGCCCTGTGGTGAACTTTTAGACTTTAAGTTAGAAGCTACAGAATGTCTTTACTGAATGTCAATCAACTTCTTGCAATTGGAACAGCTAACCGAAAACAAAAGGTCAAAATTGTTTTAGTAGGAAATACATTAACTTCTACAACTCCTCTAACTTCAGGAAAAGTACAGCATCACATTTAGGTAGCTATGTTGAGGCACATCAGAAGTAAGGTCACCATTGTAACTCTGCTTGCAGTATTTCTATATACTGTGTTTATGCAAGCGCTACCTTTATCAGGAATTGATGGAGCAAAGCTGTCCGGGGTTTGAAGGATTTTCAGTAATTATATCCCAATGTATTTAATATATAGTAGCTCCAGGACAATACTTATTTGAGCAAGCTGCCCTGTTAAACTGCAGAACATCTGATGGCCGCCTAGCTCACGAGAGGGTAAGTCTCTAATGAAAGGTTGATGTTCTCCAGCTGAAGAAGGCTCCATGTATAACTGATGCACTCCACTAAGCCACCAGTCTTGAGGTAAATTGCATGATTTATCCTTACAAACATGCAAGACTAGGCCCAGAACTAAAGGAGTACCTCACAGGTACTTCAAAGAGGTCAGAAATATGAGTACACCCTATACATCACCATCTGCTGAAAGGGCAAATTATAATCAGTGCTTAAAATGAAACCGGGAGCATTCATGTGTGTCACTAGAAAAGGATCCCTAAGGCTAAGTGACTTCAGTTAATGTAATTAACCATCAGGGTTTACAGCATTCCCAGAATACATACAACTGGAAAGATCATTCACTTTTGGTAGACAGTTAACCTAATTTGTCTAATTAAGTTTCAGAAAACTTTCCCCTCCTAAAGACATGCTGCTGGGGAAGGTAAAAGCCCTATCACTACCCTTCCTTGAGCCTCGTACAGAATACTGTCATAGCACAGTTTTGGACAGAACAAAATATTTTCTATTCAAAGTAAGTTGATATGATTTACAAGCAGGCAAACTGTGAATGTGTAAAGAAAGAGAATACTTCTTTAATGCTGAAAAATTAAAAGCTGTTGAGGACCCAAGCTTTTTTGTTGTAGATTCTTCTAGGTCATTATTTTTGTACATTGCCTGTCCTATATGTGAGAATTTTGGCTTGATCTCCAGATTCCCAGGGAGTAACACATGCCAGGAATGCATATTTTTAAAACTGGGAATGTTTTCAAGGTATTTTGGCTCATGTGAATAAAATGTTAAGGTATGAGCAAGCCAACAGGGAAAGCTGTCACCTTACCCAATCTGAAATGCTTTGCTAGCTGTGCCCCCAGAACACAGGGACACTAAAAGAAAAATATTAATATGAAATCTAGGGAGTGAAACAAGTTCTCCAATGTCAGGGACTGCACTGCATCTCACCTTTGCAGCAAAAAGTAATTCTAGTAAGTCTATAGGGCCTGCTCTCATAAATTGCATGACACTTACTGAATTCCCTTCATAATACAAAGAACCTCTTCATCTCAGCTGGGACTTGAATCTGTTGTTCCACAGATGTTAGGCATACCAAAAAATTCAATATAGAGATTACTACACTAGGATTACTGGCAAAGATTTTTCTATTGCAGTTGAGACTGGATGGAACAGAAGCAAATTCAGATCTACTTCTTCCTTCTAGCACAAACACACATGTAACGGTATTTCAGAAATCAAAGTCATGAGGAACACTGGAAAAAGGAACCCACTCAAAATCTGATTTCAGCTTTAAAGTATTACATCAACTAACAACCATATTTACTACCAGTTAACACACTTGCTTTCTACCCTGACTACAGGGATAATTTGTGGCAAGTGATATCTGTCATCAGTTCTGGCTTTTTAAGTAAAGTCGTCACCTGTAAATTCAGCTAATTCAACTATTTATGTTTAGCCTGTTTCCTAAGGAAATTAAGTCTGTGCATTCATGCCATTCCTGCCAATCTGTCAGTAATACAGAAAAAACCGTGGTTTCAGAAGTGGAAACAAATAGATCTTTTTACAGTCGAATCAGGCAGGTCATGTACACAAGACCTACTCAGCCCACAGTCAGTATGATTACCATCTATTACCATTCCAGAGAATATTTACCACAGTGGCAACTGCACAGGTGGGTGACTCTCAGAGGCAACAATACGATTAGAGTAGCAGTAACCTCCCCAGTTTTTGTTCAGCATGACATCATATGCCATGGCATATCCCTTTGGCCAGTTGGTGTCAGCTGTCCTGGCTGTGTCCCCTCCCAGCTCCTCGTGCACTCCCAGCCTCCTCACTGGCAGGGCAATATGAGAAGCTGAAAAGTCCTTGACTTAGTGTAAGCACTGTTCAGCAACAACTAAAACATCAGTGTGTTATTAACATTATTCTCATCCTAAATCCAAAACACAGCACTATACCAGCTATTAGGAAGAAAATTAGCTCTATCCCAGCTGAAACCAGGACAGCAAGTCAACACTGATTTCATTAAAGCATTTTAAGAAACATGGAAAGGAGAGAGGAGGAACACTCTCCATTCCTACCATTTCTCATTCAAAGACAGAATCATAAACTTTCCATATTGTCCAAGATTACTTTTAGGTAAGACAAAGGTACATAACGTATCATCTGCTTGCAAAGCTAATGCTAGCACTGTGTTGCAAGCTCGAGAGGCCAATGTTGATGTTTCAGAAAACGCTTTCAGATTTCTAATGCTGACAGTGACAAATTTAACCGAGTCTGTACTTACGCAGCATATAAAAGATTAACCTTCAAGTTGGCTCTCAAGTACATCTTCAAAAACCGCAGGCTACAAACTAACAGGTCCAGTTTCCCTTTAATCCAACATTCAATGTTCCAATTTGAATCTAAACAAAAGAAAGGGATTAAACATTTCTGAACTATATTAAACAAAAAAAAACCCAACTGAAAGGCCAGGATAAAATTCACTCACAAAGAGAGGACAAATAACAGATATTCATGGAGGTGAGGCTGGAGCCCAAGTGTGCAAATGTTTATGAATAATCCTTGCTGAATTGGGCACCGGTATATGCCCTTCAACACTCAAAAGGCTAACAACCTATATGATACTTCTACATTCTAATTATTAGAGAAGAAATGTATTTTACCTGGCTTTATGGACAAGGCCACCAGGGGAAGAAAGATATTAAGCTGCTGCTGCTGCTTGAAGGTTTTGCTACTGTTAACTGGTACAGCCTCTATGCGGCTGTACTATGTACACTTTGTACACACATGTGCAGCTGCACTGCATACACAACAGCAACAAATTTAGTGTAGCAGTCTTTAACAGAGGTTTATTTGTTCCACAGGATGGTTCTTGTAAAATGAAATTCTACTCTAGTGAGGTCAATGAGATTCCAGCCACTGATAGCAGTAGGCCAACTGGACAGTATGCTGCTCAGAGACTGTGGTTTACAGGAGGAGAAAAACAGTCTAGGAAAAATTCAATCTAATCCATGTACAGGTATTTACTAAGGCATCACAATCCAGGCAGAAAAGACAGCACTTGCTCTCCATCTCTCCCACCTCCTGAAGGAGTTTAAAGCCCACATTCACAAAAATATTTAAAATATTTCTCATAGCGTCTAAACACCTTTGAAGATCTGGGCTTACGTCCTCATATGCAGTGCTACATATTTTATTCAGCATTCCCTGAGAAAGACAGCCAACTATTTTTTCCCCTTTGATTCTGTGCTATACAATTTCCTTCATCTTCTACTACAGAATTCCGTGAGGAAGGGTTTTTACCACACTACGTTGTCTGCTCTGGATAAAAACTAATATCCATTAATACAACCCAGCCCCCTGCCCCCCAAACAACAAATCCCAACTTTTTTTTTTTGAAGTCATTTTTTATGTCCTTGAATGGAAAACCTACCTATTTCCTGAGAAGTGGAGATAATTATTTCTGAAGGAATAAACTTCCTTGCTTGCATGCTTGCTCTGTACAAAGAACAATCAATGTTGTTATCACTCCAAAGGCAACATAGAAAACTTTCTTCGTTCATTAGCAAGGAAGGCTTAGTTTCGGATGCCCTCCTCAAACCAGACCAGCTCTCTACAACTCCAGCAGAGAAAGGACTCAAAAATGTTTCATTCAGCAGCATACAGGGTAATGTAAAGTTCCTGGGAGGAATCTGATGGACCATACAGTGGGCAACTGCCATGTGAAGAAGGTCTGCAAACATAAAGGCAGAGATATCAGAAATAAAAGAAGAAGTTCCTATTACTTGTCAATGGAAAGTGAATGGCTGATGTTATACAGAAACTTATTCATTACATAGAAATCAGACTATTTCCAGGGGATGCTCTCCTCTGCGTTGGAGACAAAATTACTAAAAACACCCCCTCTGAACTGGTGTCACATCTGTCTGATGCCAGCCTTCTCCCCCAAAGTCACCACACCTAAGGTTTTGTTTTCTCAACCCCTTGAAATAGGTCAAGGCCAAGACTGTACGGAAATCATCTCTTTGGGGTAAACTGGCTTATATTCATTCAATATATAGTGAATCCTAAACCTAAGTTCACACACTACACAGGTCTGAGTCTCACCTCCCCCTGCAGCACTGGGACACTCACAATCCAGCTCTTATAACACGGTGTAGAAAAAATAATCCCATTGTAAATATAACACATAGTCACATTGTAACTTAAGTACCAAAGAGTAGTATTACAAGAATACATGACTGTATGTAACTACGCAACCCCAGGGCATTATCTGGGAAATGAGATGTAGGAAAAGAATTATCTTTACCATCAGACTTAGATTCTCCAAAATAAAATCACTCTGACCACATTTGTAGCTCTTGTTGGTAAGTCATAGCTTGAATTACGCTAACAATGATTTTGAGAATGATAAGCATGTCGGTTTTGGAAATAGCTTACTGTAAAATGCTGCATGAATTTCAAAGATTAAAGCTGTAGTTACAGAAAGGCATGTGGGTCATTTGTGCACTTTGCATTTAGCTTTTTTGCTCAGTAAGGGCATAAATATTTTAAGTAGCTCATTAGATAGAAATTAATTCATGCTCTATGCCTTGTGATAGCCAAAATAAGAAAAACAGGACTTCTCTAGCACTGTTTGGTTAATAGCACATAAGCATAAGCGAAATAATATAAGAACACAGAATGAAAGCTTTTTTTAAAAGCAGATGCATGCTACCTTAAAAGCAGACACTGTGTTACTATGCAGCGTGTTAAAGTGTTTTGTTTTCTCTTTACAAAGATTTTACATTGCCAGACTCCTGAAGAGTTCTGCTCTTTCCTCCTCTCTCATTTAGCTGAGTTTGTGCTTCTGTAAATATGAGCTTCATTAGACCTCCTGGCTCCATGCAGAGGATTCAGTCGACCGAACAGACTATTAGTCCATAATACATGATTTAAAAAGGACAAATGAGTAAGTGACATGACTGCCTATGAAGCAGGACAGATAACTAACATACTACCCAATTCACAGAGCCAGTTGCAGGGTGGGAAGAGATTCCTGCCAGTCATCTATTTTTCTAAGAAACAGACTCCTCACTTGCACCTCACACCAGACAATCTCACAGGATTAAATCCTATAAAGTCCAAATGTGTGCAGCTACTTACCACTTCTGGAGAAGTGTTAAAAAAAATGATAATGCATTACAATACAGAACATTTAGCATAGGACTGCTGTAGGGCTTAAATGCCCATTAATAAACTGCAGCATGCCTTAAGAATGTTTCCCTGCCACAGGTGTAACAGTTTGTCCATGACAGAGACACACAGGAGGCCCTCGCTTACAGTTCTGTCCCTCAAATAGCGGTTTCTTTCATGTCTGGGTTAACAGGGCTACAAAGATGCCAGCCATGGCTGTTAGGTTACTTGGAAAAAGACAAAGATGTCCACTCGATAGATACACCGACTTTCAGTCACTACAGGCCACGAGATATTGACAAACAGCTCTGAAGCCTAATGAAAACTCCCTGAGGCATCCAGGTTTTCTAATTAAAAGGTACACAGCATGTTTAGACTACATAAAGTATTTAAAAGAAGAATTTGTCAACAACACAATATTTGATACTGAGCGGATAGAGGTATATATATAGAAAGATACAGAAAGATGTCTATGCATGTATATTGAAAAGATACAGAAAGCTAATGATTTATTCATCTTCTGTGAAGATGACACAAATTTTGAAACTAACTTCGCTGGATTACAGCATCTGCTTTCTCCTTAAGCATCATCACCAAAAGTCTTTAAATAGTTTTCTTTTTCAATCAAAAAAAAGAAAGGTAAATACCAGCTGCCCCTGAATAGCATATACCACTATTGTTACAGACACTTCCCAATTAGAAAACTAGTTTATTATATTCAACACCTACAGGTAATTGAGCACCCTTTAACAGCACTGCGCACATGAAAGCGGGAATGTCAGCTATCTAAAAAAACAGAGCTCAAACTCAAAGTGACACCCTGGCTACACTGAACTAAACAGAAACTTTACAGTTCTGATGCAACCAGGATTTTCCCGGTTTCCCTGCTTTTGGACCCATTAGGTAACAAAACAAATTGCCCATGAACTTCTATCTTGCCAAACTTTGACTGAGGCATTTATTTAAAGGTGTCTTGACTCACCACATACTTTCTACTCAGGTTTCCTGATCTTAAAAGTCAGTTGCACTGCTTTTTGGGTTAAGGCACATAGGCACAACCCTGTGAGCGTCAACATTTCAATTACACACAACAATAACATCAGGTCCTTTGTATATTTTAGGTGCATGTTGTGGTAAGATACCAATCCAGTAGCACGACTTGAAACACCACTGTAAAACGGAAATGATGATTACTCTCATTCTATGTAATTTCTAAGACGCTGCTTTTTTTTTTAGTAACTTACCCAATAGCACAAACATGGTCAGAATGATTTGCCAATACATCTTGTTTTGTAGAGCTGATCTGAAAAACATACAGAAAATTAACTGAGAGCTGATAATTATCAGTCTATTATTTCATTAGGGTTTAATTTCGGTGCACTTCAGTTAATTTGATACTCACACCTTGGTAAGCAGAAGGGAAGAACAAAATCAGAATGTCATTTGAGAAAAAATATTGCTTAAAATACCAACTAGTTATCAATACAGCTCTTCTTTCATCATTAGAACTACATAGTACCTCGTTTCTCCAGGCTTTTGCTGGTCATTGTTCACCTTCTGGGTTTGGCCATCTGAAAGGCACTACAAATCCAAACAATCAAAATGCCCAAGAGGTACTGAATTTTCAAAGCGTGGCATACACAAAAGCACTCAGGCACCCGTTTCAATGGTGAAGACTTCACTACACTTTTCTTTCATTTGAAGTACTTTGTTGTTTTTGATTTTCATCCTATAGTCACACAAATTCTGTTAAAACCCAAATACAACCATTTTTATACTTGAAAAAAAGCTCAACAGAGGCTACCAGAGGAAAACACACGGAGTTTCGTTGCCTTTGTAGTTAAGCACAACTAGATGATTAGTAAAATTTACACATTAAGTCAGACAGAGAATGCTGGGGCAAGAAATGAGATTTGGGGAGTCCCTCCAAAGTATTCTCATTCCTTAAATATTTCTGAGAACAATTTCCTTGAGAACATCTACGTTGCCAAAGAACTGGTGCCAATGCTTTGTAATCCAAGCCAATGCTTGAAATCCACTGTGTCATACACACTGTATGATACACACAGGCTACTGCAGTGGGAGTCTCCGTACTGGCTACACAGGAGTCCAGAAGGAGACAGAGTAATTCCTTCTTGGTTTTTACCACTCTTGCCAGCGCACAAGTGCGAGTACATCCCTGTTGTCTCAGCCAGGGCAGTGCCTCAACGAGCCAGGACAAAGTGGAGGGTCAGCCCCACAGAGGAACCAGTGGCTGGTAACAAAACCAAAGAATTTGGTTACAATAATGAAACCCACCCTCTGCTCACAAGTATCCCTCCTCTCCCTTTTGTCCTCACCAGAGACTTTGATATGATTATCCAGTGACCCTGGCACTACTTTAAGCCTTGACCATGGCTTAAAGCAGAGGTGATTCAATAGGCATAGCTGTCTACCTGACGCAGCGGACAACTGACCAGTGAAGTTACAGTATTTCAGTATTCTTGTCTCCCTGCAAGCTCTTCCAGAAGGAAAGCCCTTGCAAATTTGGCTGGGGCTGGAGCCAGAGCCAAGCCATTTCTTCAGCGCAGACCATCTTCATTTTGGTCTGCAAGATGAGTCAGTCCCATCCACTTTTCTCACCATTCACCCAGGTTATAATCAGAGTACATTTTAAGCTACATTTTGAGCAATTAAAGAGGAAAGCTCAAAGTTTCAAAGGCAGTGCTTCACAACCCCTACTTCAGTGGAAAATCTGCCTCTCAACACAGCTGTTAGGAGGCCAACCTTACCTGTACCTCTTCCATTAGTCTATTTCCTAACAGGTGAGCCACAAAGGCCAGAGGAAGTCTGCCATTTCACAAAGATACAGGCTGGGGTTATTTCCAAAAGCCTATGATCAAAGTTATCTAGGTTTTTTCCAAGTTTCTGATTGAAAGAAGAAAACAAAAACTTTTAAAATAATTTACTTGACATAACCATACACTATTCATACTATTAAACATGTGGTTTAATGAAAGCCAGTCCACGTTCCTCTTTTAAAGGTGCAACAAAAATTTGCTGTTCATAGCTCAACCACTTCTCAGTAGGAAACTGGCAGAGATCACTTCCATATGTTGTACTAGAAAATCAGCCATATATTTCAAAGGCTTATAAAGTCATCAGAATGTCATGGACGTTATTGCAAATGCTTTAAAGCTCTCGCTTTCAGAACAAGTAAAAAATGCCCACTATCAAGAGCTCTAAATAATCCATAAAGTTATGATCCATCACCTGCTCTCCCATCATAGGGACTGCAAGAAGTAAAGGCTGCCAGTCAGGTATCTTAGCCCTATTGCTCCTAGATATTTGAGCGAAAGAACCATTGTTCTGGTAAATATAGGTATTTCGTTGTACTATTTCAAAGCAGAATGTGAAACACCATCTCTCATTTGTTCCTGGAAGTAAGAAGACAAATAGTTAATTGTGTTAACAACAGCTGCTGTGTTAGTTTCACCCAAGCAATACCTACCATAGACTGAAAAGCAAGCAACCACAGATCCCCAGAACCACATACACCTCAAAGAAAGAAAGTTATAATTATGTAGTCTACTGAAGATAAAGGCATTTTCACTTCCTGCTGCCAGATAAATGTCCAGACAAAACAATCAAAAAGATTCTGATATCAGCACTAATTTAACCATAATTAACAATATTGGGACCAGAAGGCAAAAATACAGCTCAGAGCAGCTCAAGACATCTTCTTTTCCTATATCCATTGCATCGTTCTAGGCTGATTTTTACAAAGGTGTTATTTTTCAATCGTTGTTCCAACAATATTCATGAACAAAAAATAGTGCTGTACATGATCAAAAAGCAACGTAAGCTACCTGTCAACAGCATTACCTCCTTTTCTGTTCAAAGTTCAGTATTGCTTGTGTAAACTTTACACAGGAATTGGGTAAAAAGAGGTATCTACAGACAACTCCCAGGACAAGACGAATATACTACCAGAACAGACAGCACTACCCAGTATCTTTTCTAGTGAGAATATTGAACTTACCAGAATTTTATTGTTAAGAAAGAATCCAAGTTTTACAAGAGCAATTACAGGGAACAGGAAGTTCAATAAAGGAGAACTATTAAAACTTGTAACTATAGCTCTAACCCAGAGAGGGTAAGTTAACACAGCTAAGAAAAATGGTTTTACGAGTTGCTGGGTAAGTATCCATACAAATGGAAGGAATCAGGGCCCATTGTAATGCATCTGTCTTAAAATACACCACTCTGAAACCACCAACTTTGCTGCTACTGCTGCGTACAAGACACTTTCAATTTCATATGTAAATAGCATGTTCTTCTCCATGCTAACCACAGTACAAAAAACTTCAGGAAGGAGAGCACCTCTCTTAACAAAATCATCCAATTTCAAACAAAACACAGCAGATATGACAAGCAAGGAGGACAAGAACAAAAGTAAGATTTTTTTTTAATTTTTTTTTTTTTTACAGGCTGGCTGAGAAGTCATATAATCCACTGGCATATCAGCATAGGAAACATTTTCAACACAGCCTGAAACAAGCACAGTCGGTGATCCACAAACACCTGCTCACTGGGCACAGAAAATGTACTGAAAGTTTTCCTTTTCCTTCTGGAGCTTCTTTTTTTTTTTTTTTTTTTTTTTTTTTTTTGTTTTTTTTTTTTCACACTT